TTAGAGGGGAGATTTCTGGAATTTCTTTTAAAGTGGTATTACTGTATGCATATATAATGAATTTGGGTTATCTAATTTGGTATGAGGTTATGGTAATGAGATTAAGGTTCTTTTTTAAATTTTTACACCTTTCATACACACTGCATTCTTTTATAGAAATTTTTGTTTGATTGATTGATTTTAGAGGGAGAGACATCAATTTGCTGTTCCACTCATGCCTGCATGTATTGGTTGCTTCTTGGATGTGCCCTGACTGGGGATCAAACCTACAACCTTGGCACATCATAACAACACTCTAACCAACTGAACTATCTGGCCAGGGCTGCTCTGCATTCCTAATATTGGCAAATCCACTCAATAATAATCGGTACTGCTATCAGAGAGTCCAGATAGAATTGTAACCATGAATGATCAATCTAGATAATCAAGGTGCTGGAAAAAACCAACCCAAAACATTATATTTTCAAGGTGTGATGATAAATAAAGTTTTCTTTTTGTATGGAGACTAATAACTAATGGGCTATTCTTATTAACAAGTAGTGTTAAATATTTTATCTGATAATTCACTTTTATTTAAAATCGCTAACAATATCTTTTCAATGATTTTTCCATAGGTTCTTTTTTGAACTAGACTTTGAATGTTTTGTGTGTTTTTTTTTTATTTTTTTTAATGGAAAGATTTTGAATCATGTGATGATAGGTTAACGATAAAATTCTGAACAGTTAGAATTCTCACTTTTGCTAAGGTATTAGTGTTAACTAAAGTTCCCAAGTAGTCTCTTTATCTAATAACTTAAAATTATGTTCATACTCTCTGATAGTAAATGAAATAAATTACTGGTGTGTTCTAGGCTCATAATATAAGAAGGATAATTTCAGGACTGTAAGCACTTGTTGATGGGGCTGTGGGTAAGGTTTGCTGAATAACTCTGAATGTGGACTTAATGCATATCAGACCTCTATAATTGTCGTCTTGGATATGGGAGGTGGGGTCAAATGGTGCGGTGAAACTACCTAAAGAGAAAGGAAGAGCCAAAACCGGTTTGGCTCAGTAAATAGAGCATCGGCCTGCAGACTCAAAGGTCCCGGGTTCAATTCTGGTCAAGGGCATGTACTTTGGTTGCAGGCACCCTCTCTATGAAAAATCAATAAAATATATTTTTTAAAAAGGGAAAGGAAGAGGACAATATATCATCTATACTAATAAAAGGGTAATATATTAATTAGACCGGATAGACTGGACGTTCTTCTTGACAAAGCCAGGTCCTGGGCGATGCTGGCCTGGGTCCAGGTGCCTGTGGCTGGCCGATGAAGGAAAGCCTGGGTCCTAGGTATGGGGGTCAAGGCAGAGGCTGATAGGGACAATTAAGTAGGCAGGCGAGTGGTTGGGGGCAGGCAGGCAGGCAGGCAGGCAAGCAGTTAGGGGCAATCATGCAGGCGAGCAGTTAGGAGCCAGCTGTCCCAGATTGCAAGAGGGATGTCACAGGATTGGGCCTAAACCAGCAGTCAGACACCCCCTGAGGGGTCCCAGATTGCGAGAGGGTGCAAGCCGGGACTCCCCTCCCTGCCCCCCTGCACAAATTTTGTGTACCGGGCCTCTAAAATACACACACACACACACACACACACACACACACACACACACACACACACGCGCGCGCGCGCGCGCGCGCGCGCACATATAAAAGCCTAAGTGACTGAACGACCAAATGACCAGGGGACAGATGTTCAATACACAGGATCAGGCTCCCTCCTGTCTGGAAGGGGCCTGTGGGGATCAGGCTGAAACCTGCGATCCAAGGTACCCCATTCGTGCACCGAGCCTCAAATATTTTAAAACTGGTTGAGATTAACTCTAAAGTGGACAGAGAAAGGAAGTGTGCCTCAGTCAACCCTTTCTTTTTTTCTTTCTTTCTTTCTACAACAACGAATGGTCTATCACAGCAAAAACAATAACAATATATTTTAGGGTTGCGTGTAGAAGCAAAATGTATGTAAATTATAGAACAAATGCTGGGAGGAAGGAAATTAAAGTGTACTGCACTGCCCGTGTGGCTCATTGGTTGAGCATCGACTAATGAACCATGAGGTCATGGTTTGATTCCTGGTTTCAGGCTCGATCCCCAGTAGGGGGTATGCAGAAGGCAGCTGATTAACAATTCTCTCATCATTTTTTAAAATATATTTTTTTATTAATTTCAGAGAGGAAGGGAGAGGGAGAGAGAGATAGAAACGTCAATAATGAGAATCATTGATCAGCTGCCTCCTGCATGCCCCCACTGGTTACAGAGTCAGCAACCCAGGCATGTTCCCTTGACCAGAATCAAACCTGGGACCCTTCATTCTGCAGGCCGACACTATCCACTGAGCCAAAACAACTAGGGCATCATCATTGATGTTTCTATCTCCCTCTCCCTTCCTTTCTCTGAAATCAATTTTTTTTAAAAAAAAGTTATACTGTAGGTTAGTCAGGCTGTGATAAAGATGTATATTTTAAAACTTATAAGCCAATATTAAACACAACAAAATAATAAAAAAATTATATAAATACCAAATAAAAAGACAAAATAGAAAGAAAAGGTATCCATGAGATTACAATAAAATTAAAAACTGAATAGTAAAGAAAGGAGTTCTTTCTTAATATAAAAAGCCAGCTAATTGTAGAAACAAGAAGAAACGTTTTTTTAAATTACTATTTACAGTTACTCTAGCAATAGTTGTTTCAGTAAGAATTATGAATAGTAGAACTAGTCAGTGAAAGTTTTAAAATAGTCTGTAGTGTCAAAGTATCGCCCTAAAGATAATTACTCATTACAAAGAGGAAAAAATACTAATTTCCCGGAAGATACACCTCATAGACACTACCTGAAACAAGAAAAGTTAACATCACCCATGCTAGATCACATCAACACCATCACCTGCCTCCTAACATGCACTGGGATAAATACAACATCCCTTTTAAAGGGACAATGCAAAATAAACTGTTCTGTGCTTCTGAAAAATGTCAGCGTCATAAAATACTAAGACAGACCCAGAAACTATTACCAACTAAAGAGATATGACAACTGAATGTAAGGTATGATGCTGGCTTTTCTTCTGTAAAAAGACATGGGGACCATTGGAAAAACCTGAGAATTTGATAACTGGATTGTACTACAAGAGAATAGAGAATGACTTTGTTTTTAGAGAGAGAATATAAAGGGCAGATGGGAGAGAAGGAAACAAGAAAAAGGAAGTGGGAAGAGAGAAGGGTGAGAACAAGAAAGCAGGTGTGATAGAGAAAGGGGGGGGGATAAATAGGGAGAGAAATGGGGAAAGGAGGAAGGGAGGAGAAAGATGAAAGTCATGTATAAACAAAGTGCAGTAAAATATTAATGTAGAAAATGTTTACAGAATTTGGGTATGGTGGAGTAAAGAACTCAGCCTTGCCCAAAGACAGTAATTGTCTTTGCCTTCACCTTCTTGAAGGCAATCTGTACCTGATTGGACTGTCTTTGTTTAGACTGTTTCTGGCAAACTTTTCTCATTTAATCTTTCCTCTTTTTTTAATTTTTAATTTTTTTAAATATATTTTATTGATTTTGTACAGAGAGGAAGGGAGAGAGATAGTTAAAAACATCAATGACAATGAGAGAGAGTCATCGATCAGCTGCCTCTTGCAGACCCCCTACTAGGGGTATGCCCGCAACCAGGGTACATGCCCTTGACCGGAATCGAACCCAGGACCTTTCAGTCCCCAAGCCAATGCTCTATCCATTGAGCCAAAGCAGTTTCAGCTAATCTTTACTTTTTAGATGAGCACCCTTATTAAGGATGCTCGGGTGTTTTTTATCAGTTTGAGTTGGTACTATCTTACCTAATAAAAGAGTAATATGCAAATTAACCATCATTACACTCAAGCCACGCCCACCAGCCAGAGTGAGTATGCAAATTAATCCCAACCAAATGGCTGCAGCCACAAAGAGCAGTTGAGAGGCTTGGGTTTCCCTGCAACAGAGGAAGCCAAGTTTTCCACCTGCCCTGGCTGGCCTAGGCTTCCACTCAATGATACAAAGTTTCAATTGTTGATGGTAAATAAATTCCAGATACCAGGGGCTCTGTTTGGGTCGCCAGGGGCCATCGCTCGCCTGCCAGCCACCACAGGCCCCTCGCCCAGGTCACCTCACACCCCACCCTGATCCGGGACACCCTTCACGGCAAACCAGCTGGGCCCCACCCATGCACCAGGCCTCTATCCTGTTTATTAAAAGAGTAATATGCAGATTGACCATTACTCCAACACACAAGATGGCTGCCCCCATGTGGTCAAAGATCCTGCCCCTATGTGGACACAAGATGGACACTACAAGATGGTCAGCAGGGGCGGGCACTTGGGGGACAGCAGGCCTGCAAGGAAGGGCAGTTGAGAGGGACCAGGTCTGCAAGGGATGGCAGTTGGGGTGACCAGGCCAGCAGAGGAGGGAAATTGGGGGCAAACAGGCTGGCAGGGGAGCAGTTAGACATCATTCAGGCTAGCATAGGAGTAGTTAGGGGGTGATCAGGCAGGCAGAAGTGATTAGGGGCAATTAGGAAGGCAGGCAGGCGAGCAGTTGGGAGCCAGCAGTCCTGGATTGTGAAAGGGATGTCAGACTGCCCGTTTAGGCAGTTGAACATCCCTCAAGGGGTCCCAGATTGGAGAGGGTGCAGGCTGGGCTGAGGGACACCCCCCTTTGTGCACCGGGCCTCTAGTTTAAAATATAATAATAAATTAATAATCAAATTGGTCCATAATTCAGAGTCACTTTTCCTAGTAAATTCGGCTTAATCATTATACTTTATTTAGCTTTTCCTTTTTTTCTTTTCCTTGAAAGCCTTTAAATATTTTTTTAAAACAACATAATTGTATATGAGATACAAGTAATGAATTAACCAGAACCTGCAAGATCTGCTGGAACTGATAACATTTTACTATTTTGAAATCTTTCTCAACAGTGGTCCAAATATTTTTGTTTCCATTTTAGAACAAAATCCAGTCTCATAGCAGAGGAGAATATAATGTTTACAGCACCTTTCAGAGCCATGAACCAGAGTTTGACTACTTGAAAAGTTTAGAAATAGAAGAAAAGATCAACAAAATTAGGTGGTTACCCCAGAAAAATGCTGCTCAGTTTTTGTTGTCTACCAATGGTAAGTGTAAATTTTATTTCATGTGCTTTGTATGTACACATACTCTGTAGGATATGTTCCCCTTTTCAAAGAGGGGTAGGTGTTTAGAGATATTTACAAATAGACATTTGGAAATATTTCTTCCCCACTTAGAATATAAACTCTTCTTTTATGTCTTTCCTTTTTTTATTGGCATTTAGTTTTTAAATTCTATGAAATAAATTTTTAGGTGTCAAGTTTCTTTTTGCACACACACACACTTTGTCGTGAAAAGAATGGACTGATTTTCTTTATGCCACTTTGTGGCTTAGACTTGAGCAAGTTATTAATGCCGAGTCAAATTTTTCTAACCTGCAAAGTGGAGATGATAATATCTATATTATCGTATTGTTATGAATAGTAAATGTGAATCCCTAATATACATAATACGTGCTCAGTAAATGTTAATTTCCTCTCTTCCCTTCCTCCTTTTTAAGTGTGCTCAATCTCTCCAAAGAGGATTTCAAACAGTAAATTCAAAATGCTCTGTCAAAGAATGGTCTCCATTCAAGAATACTTTCTAGGAGGGCATTCTTCATACTCGATCTAGTCCAGGAAGGACACAAACTGGAATTGACACACTGTCTTCTTCTGCACAGTCCTGATGGCTTGAAGAAGTTGTTTTCTTAGTCTCATTGATCTGCTTTTTTTAAGTCATGGTTAGAATTGTGTGGTAACTCTACCAGAATTTAAACTCCTTTATGACAAGTTAAGAATTGGGTCTTTTTGTTGTTGTTGTTCTAATTTTTTTTTTTCTTTCTCATATACTTTGTTTAGCTTTTGGGATCAGGGGTCTGAAGAGACATTAAAGTGACTAAGAGAGCCAAAACCGGTTTGGCTCAGTGGTAGAGCGTTGGTCTGTGGACTGAAAGGTCCCAGGTTCGATTCCGGTCAAGGGCATGTACATTGGTTGCGGGCACATCCCCGGTGGGGATGTGCAGGAGGCAACTGGTCGATGTTTCTCTCTCATCGACGTTTCTAGCTTTCTATCTCCCTTCCTTCCTCTCTGTAAAAAATCAATAAAAAATATATTTTAAAAAAATAATAATAAAAAAAATAAAGTGACTTAAGAGATAATTCTAGATTCTGGGTGGCCATAGTCTGTAAAAATTTAGATTACAACTTATTTGAGGCTGGCACAAGGATTGGGGAAAACCTCATATTTTCTCATATCTTCTCTATTGAATAAAAGCAGATATTTAGCAGCTAGACCTTATCATTCTTTGCCATTCACAGAATGTATACTCAGTGATTTCTGGGGTGACACAGTGGGAAATACTGAGTTCCCCCTTCATCCAGTTTAGGTCTCATCACCCTCTGTATCTAGTTCTTTGAAATGCATTTGCCACTCTCTGACACAATAGATGTGTGCTTCCTATAGCCCAATTTTTTTAAATCATCAAGCTGTTCCGTAAGCAGCCCTTAACGTTTGTACCCTCTCCCCCTCTCTTTTTACATAAACTGCATTCCTCTGTCTGATTATTAAAAGAAAAGTAAATAGAAATAATGATCTAAAGCTTATAACTTACAGCATCATAGATTGAGGTACTGTATATACTCGTGTCATATATTGGTTTCAAATTTGGTTCAGTTTTAATTTATGTGGTAAACTAAATTATTTCAAATAGCTTTCAGATACTGCTTCTTTTTTTTTTTTTTACATCAAGTAATGCATAATTTTACCATTATATAGTTTCTACTTTTGGAAGTAAATGTTCCAGAGAAGTGTATTGTTAAACATTTCATGTGTGGAGGGGAGTAGGGGGTGTTTTTAAATATATTTTTATTGATTTCAGAGAAGGAGAGAGAAAGAAACTCCTGGTTCATAGGTCAATGGTCAGCCACTGAGCAACACTGACCAGACTAGAATATTTAGTCTTAATAATTTACCAGTTTACGTCTTAGTAGCTGTATAGTTTGTTTTTATTTTTAAAGGGGAATTTTTGACATATAGGCTGAGGTAGAATAGTGTAATGAAGACCTATATACCCCCCACCCAGCTTCAGTAATTCTTAGTTCATAGCTAATTCTGTTTTTCAGATCTTTCTTCCCCTTTCAGTGTTGTTTGAAAGCAGATTCCATTTTGATTTATTTATTTATGGATTAAATCTTAAATAACTTTCAATTCCCAGCTTATGCTCGTGTGTCTTCCTTGCAGGCTTTCTTGTACTCCTGTGGCTTGAAATAACAAGGCAGTGTATAACCAGATGAGCCTTTCTAGATACTAAACTCTACAAAGGCTCAATACAAGGAAAGACACTGGGAATTCCAATGGTTAGGTCAGGGTATGTGAATCTATGTAGTACTTCCCTGTAGATAAATCAAAGTGTCTCCCAAATAGGTTTACTAATGTAAATTTGAAAAATGATTGATGATACTAGGTGTACTGATAATAATGAGGATTTTTTTCAATAGATGGAGTTACACATATGTTGATATATATGCAATTTGATATGTATAGTCTTTTGTTGTATTGACAACAAGCTTTAAAACATCATATGTCAAATTTGCTGAAGATGTTAGCATCATAAATATTTTTACACTTAAAAATGTTGAAATTCTGTGCCAAAAAAATTTTTTTTTTTTGCGGGAAGTTATAATTCATTATTTTGAAGAAAAGTGCTGCTGAGTACTTCGGGAAGCTTATGGTAAACATGCTCCATCTCAAGATACTTGTGAACACTGTTTAAACACTTTAAAAGTGGTGATTTCAATGTGAAAGACAATGTCCAGGTCAGCTGAGAAAGTTTAAAGACCAACAATTACAAGCATAATTGGATGAAGATATGTGTCAAACTCAAAAATAACTTGCAAAAAGATTAAATGTTGTTAAGCAAACAATTTCTGATCATTTACAAACAATGGGAAAGATTTTAAGGGAAGGAAAATGGGTGCCATATCAAATGAACAAAACACAAATGAAAAATTGAAAAGTCATAAGAAAATGTTGCTTTAATGGCACAAAAGAAAGTCTTTTTTGCATCAAATTGTGTCTGGCGGTGAAAAGTGGATTTATTTTGAGAATCCCAAATGCACAAAATCATTGGTTGATCCAGGTCAACCATCAATATCAACTGCAAGGCCAAATTGCTACAGGAAGAAGACAATAATGTTTGGTGGGATCAGGAAGGTGTGGTGTATTATGAGCTTCTAAAACAAGGTGAAACCGTTAATACTGATCGCAACCGAGAACAAATAATCAGTTTGAACCATGCTTTAATTGTGAAATGACCAGAATGTTCCAGAAAACACGGCTAAGTGATTTTGCTTCGTGATGGCGCACCATCATACACGTTAAAAGATGTTGCCTGGGAAGTATTAACCTGCCCACTGTATTTACTAGACCTTGCTCCTTCGGATTACCACTTGTTCTGTTCGATGGCACATACACTTTCTGAAGAGCACTTCAAAACATACAAAGAAGTGGAAAATTGGGTCTCTGAATGGTCTGCCTCAAAATGAGAAAAGTTCTATTGGGGTGGTATCCACAAATTACCTGAAAGATAAGAGAAATATGTAGCTAGCAATGGACATTACTTTGAATAAAGTACTTTTGATGTTTCTCTTGAAATTATTGTGTTCTCTTTTATTACAAAATCCACTATTATTAACCTGTACACTTAGTGAATTATTTTAAAGGGCACTACACAGTGAATCATGGGTTTTTATCTATTTGTTGTAAGTGGTGGTGTTAATGAATATTAAATAAAATACAGGTATTTTAGGGCTGCCTTTATTTTTTATTTTTGTATGCTATAAAAGTAGAGTCCCAAGTGGAAGGATTGAACAGGAATGGGAATTTTATAAATTGCTTTGTCTGGGAATGGTGAGATAAAAAGAAGGATGGGAGGAGTAGATCGTGAGCTATATTTGAAGTGTTATTTAAAAAGAAAGAAAGCTAGCTATATTTGAAGTGTTATTTAAAAAGAAAGAAAGCTATTAAGGGTAAATGTCTATTAAATCTTTAAAATGTTTAGTTTTCTCTGTGAAATATAGGATAATAATACCTCTTCCACCAAATGTGCAATAAAAGGGTCTTGATACTCATAAAAACTAGAGGCCCAATGCACAAAACCCGTACAATAGAAGGCCTTCCTTCCTCTGGTGCCAGCACTGGCTTCCCATCTGGCACCCAGGACCTGGGTTTCCCTCGCAGCCCCAGCTTCATCTGGAGAGATGTCTGGGTCTAATTAGCATATTATGTTTTTATTATTATAGACTAGAGGCCCAATGCACAAAATTCGTGTAAGGATAGGCCTTCCTTTTCCCAGCTGCCAAGACAGCGGGCTTCCTTTGAAGCCCCGGCTTTATCCGGAAGGTTGTCCAGCGGGCATCTGGTCTAATTAGCATATTATGCTTTATTATTATAGATTAGAAATTCCTGTGGGAGAATGATAGAAAATATGACCCAACATTTTCGTTTTGATTCACCATAATTAATCTTACTTTCATTCTTGCATTGACTTTCTATGATCATAAACTGTTTTTTCCCGGATCATTTTTACTTTATAGTCATCTCTTATAACTTTAATTCACTTGATGTTTCCTCAAGTTATTTTATTCTTTTCTTTTTTTACCTTTTTCCCCCTTTCTTAGAATTTTCCTCGATTCTTCCACATTACAAAAAGGTCCAGTTGTAATCTGTTGACCATAGATGGATGGGTATTGAATATAAGAGTGATAGTTCACTCATAAATAAGTTGCCTCCTAACAGGTTGTTAATAAGATTTTTTATCTTGTTTAAAGCTGCATTCCCACAAGAGGAAGCTTAATAGCCTGGTTTTACCTGCCCCAACCCTCTGTTTATCAAGAGATACACATGGACCTTTGGACTCCTTGACTTTGAAGACCTTTGGACTTTTTGTGCTCTTAGGGTTGACAATTTAGGGAATCACCATAGGCAGTAGCTCTTAAATTTTTGAAAGTAACATATATGTTTGAGAATCTTCCAATCCCTTCACAAAACAGTTGTGTATAAAAGA